TTTTTAAGGGGGGGGGGGGACCCACGGGAACCCCCCCCCCCCCCCCCCCCCCCCCCCCCCCGGCGTAGGGTACCCCCCCTGACCTCCCCCCCAAATCCGCCACTGTAATTAGATGTACACGGTGGCAATTCGTCTGCCACCGACTTGCACTTGACTAATAAATCTGCTCGGTCTCACACGCAATGTAGTTCATAAGTTAAAAAAAAAAAACAAATATGGTGCGGAGACTTGATTCAGAGCCCAGCGTGCTAACCAACCAACTGAATCCAGTTCAAATCTCGGTAAAATGTACAACTTTCAATTTTTAAATAAAATAATGTTTAACAGTCTGTGTCCAGCGGCGGATGTAGAGGTGGAGGGGGGTCCTGTCGTTCCGGACCCCCTCCTTTCAAATAATCCTGGATCCGCCAGTTTGTGCCCTAAACTTTTCAGCTAACTGGACATTTGGACCACCAGTTTCCAAAAATCTATTGGTCCGAATTATAATCCACTGATCCTTAAAATTTTATCACCATTTATTACAAAGGTCGAATTTGTTTGTTATGAGGCAAAAATATTTTAAAAGAAAATTATGGAAAAGGTTCGTTTGTTAACGAAAAGAACCTACTACTAAATTCACGAACGCACACTTGAAAGGGTGCAATACGTTATAACACAACAGACATACATGTACCTTTGTTGCTTTTCTTTTATGTAAAATGCACCTTTAAAATTAAAACTCCCTAGCTTTTTATTTACCAGTATCCCACGTACTTATAGACACAGGGTGACGTATTCCTAGACACAGGATGGCGTATTCTAGACACAGGATGACGTATTCTAGACACAGGATGACGTATTGTAGACACAGGATGACGTATCCCTAGACACAGGATGACGTATTCTAGACACGGGATGACGTATTCTAGACACAGGATGACGTATTGAAGACACAGGATGACGTATTCTAGACACAGGATGACGTATTCTAAACACAGGATGGCGTATTGTAAACACAGGGTGACGTATTCTAGACACAGGATGACGAATTCTAAACACAGGGTGACGTATTCTAGACACAGGATGACGTATTCTAGACACAGGATGACGTATCCCTAGACACAGGATGACGTATTTTAGACACGGGATGACGTATTATAAACACGGAATGACGTATTCTAGACACAGGATGACGTATTCTAGACACAGGATGACCAAGCATTATCGTCAATTCAGCTCCGAGGACCTGAGATAACGACCGGGTTTCGATGTAACTCCGTATTACACGTAGGTCAATTTTTTTCTTGAAAATTGGAAGACGTACCATTTCTTTATAGACAAGCCTGCTGATTTCCATTTTATTCATTTTCAGTATGTGTAAGGTTCTATGTTGTAATGGGCAGCACTCAGGAACCTGAATCCAGCGATCCGAAATCAAAATCTCGGTGTAACCAGTCTTTTTTTTTTTACTTCTCAGGTAAATTACGTATAAGGCGTGACAGTTAACAGCCTCCTTTATCTCCCCACTGCCTGCATAAACTAATTCATTGGCCCCATTCAGAATAGGGGACTTACTAGTCCGAGGCTCAAATATGGCAACCCACTACAAAGCTTGCCGTTTAGTAGATACTGAATAGATATCCCGAGGGGAAATATTCAAGTGGGTCAGCCATATTTGACCCTCGGACTAGTTAGTGCCATCATCTGAATGGGGCCATTGTGAACTACATATACACAAACAATGTAATCACGTTTAAAAGGGCAAAATCGACTAATTTCATGGTACGTTAATATTTTCCCATTTTTGTATGTAAAATGCCTTTTTAAATTTTTTTTTTTTTTTTTTTTTTTTTTTTTTTTTTTTTTGCATGTAAGAAGCATGTTATCTTGAAATTTGGCAGAAATGCCATTTACGATTAACAAACAAGCTTTTGTTCATTACGGTTCTATGGTGTAATATGGTTAAATAATTACACTGTACTATTTGTCGTTAAGCGTTTATTGGTCCAACTTGATAATGATCGCTATCTGAAACAGAAGAGTAAATTACAAAAGTCTACACAAATAGTAATCCTATATCTTCCCCCAAGTCTTTAGGTTCACTGATAACCAAAGTCAGTAGAAAGACTGAAATGTTTCAATGATCCATGAGAGGTCACTAGTGTGAAAAACAAGTAAACTACAAAGTAATAGGAGTACAGAAAGTAATTTAATTGCATTGAATAAATGATCAAATACAGATAATTAAAAACATGTCATCGAGTGTCTGATAAATAAGTACACTGTACTATTTGTCGTTAAGCATTTATTGGTCTAGCTTGACAATGATCGGTATCTGAAACAGAAGAGTAAATTACATAAGTCTACACAAATAGCAATCCTATAGATGGTTAGCACTATACTATGGATTTTGAAACCGGCCATCCCAGTTCTAATCTCGTTAGAACCTAACTGTGTTGCAGAATGTCCTAAATCTATGTTAGTGATCCCTAAGCAAAATAAAAAGTTTGCGGCTACATTGCAGAAAAATTGCCAGTTTGTAAGAAAAATTTTTACTGCTGCTAATTTGCAACCACATTGCAGCAAACTACAAGAAGAAATTGTAGCTTGCAGCAATATTGCAGCAAATCTGCTGAGAATTTCCAATAGGCCTGATATTTTGCTAAGGGTAATTGCTTCCCTAGATTCAATAATGCAGAACAAAGATTTTTCTGAACTACTGAGTACGTAGGCCTACAGTGGCGGATTTGGGGGGGGGGGGGAGTCAGGAGGGTCCTGCCTCCCCCCTCGTTCGATTTCTGAATAAAAAAATCACACCCATGGTCCCCTGCTGAAATCAGAATTTTGACTATCTGAATCATAGTTCTAAAGAGTACCAAATGGCACCGTTGGCCCTCTAAAATATCATAATACCTTCAGCAGGCCCAGAACCCCATGCCAAGAGGGGGGGGCGCGCCTTCCCATCCACGGACCACCTCTTCAAGTAATCCTGGATCAGCCCCTGTAATTGAATTGATCTGAGCACGAGGCTCCCTCCCAGTTGTGGAACTTGAAACTTCAAGGTAGCGACTTCTTTCTGCAAATCTCGGACAATGCTCTTGTCGCCATCTTCTGTTGCATTACAGCTGTAGAGGCAGTACTACACTTGCCGCCACAACACCCTAATTGCCTGTCATCCCTTAGGTTGGCTAGAACGCAGGGTTTACGTACTTATATTTAAAAAAAAAAGCAGAAGATTTCTTCTCACCGATGTGCTCATGTGTAGATCAGATCACCTGTATTTAAATAAATAATTTTCCGGGCACTTCTTCCTGGTGAACGAGGTAAAAGGTACGAGAAATTCAGAAAGTATTCAGAATTATCACTGTTTTAATCAAATTTTATCAGATGTTTAAATAAAACTCTACTTATAAAAAGATACAAAAAACACTAATTTTAGCTTTTCTCGCTTAGATACATAATCACGCACTGTAGTTCCGTTTTGTATCATTTCTTTCTTCTTCTTTTTTTTTTTTGTGACCTGAGATGCCTTTTTCCCACTTTTTTTTTTCTAGTGGCCTGAGATGCCGTTTTCCGCCATTTTGTCAGCTGTCCTGCCGTTTCTCCAAAAGCGAGCCAGTCTCAACCGCCTCGTGGTCGTCAGGGCGGACATGTTCAGCAGTACACGCGGTATTTGGACCATTTTAACATGTAAAGATGTTTTCTTCGGCACTGAGATATGTCTACCGAAGCTGTAGCAGACACGATTTTGTAGGTAGAGTAGCTCAGTGTCTTGCACAGCCGTCACGATGCCATCAACCGCTGCGGTTTACATGCGCCGTTTCACAACTCCGAAGTCCTCGGAAGATGTGGGGTTGGTCGTTGGGGAGACATGTCGGCGGAATTAACCAGTCATACTCTACAATGACCATCACGAAACATGTTTATAACAGAATCATCAGAGAGAGTCAAATGAATTTTGAAAGTAAAGCGGAGTGGAACATAACGCAAGATGGAAGGAGCAAAGCGGAGATTATCAGTGATTACGAGAACAGAGCCTGTAAGGCCGATAGTGACCTTGACGGAGAGATACTGTACATATTTGCTGTCGGTAGTCTTTTGAAGGATTCACCTAAATCTCAAGAAACTCATCTTCCACAAGATGACAGGATATCATCAGCCCTGCAAATCATCCTCAACAAAGGTTTGATGGAGGGAAGTTCCTCGAGTCAGTTACGCAGATTGTTGTTAGTTGGGGCCAGAATTCATCAATCTCCAGAAGTTCTTCGGTTTAGTAAGGAACTGGAGAGACACATGTCACAGGTATGGTCCGAATGGCCTGTTAAGTCTAAGATACAAGCCTGCCACGGGTGGTTTCGTTTGTCTGCAATACACAGGCAGAAATACTTCGAGGACCAGATCCGAATTTTCTTAAAGCACATGAGAGAGGCAAAGCTTGGGTGGGAGGAACCTGGACGCAAAAATATTTACCAGCTCCTTCGTGTTCTGTCCTGTGGAACATACTATTCTAATGCACTGGGTGGAAGATGGGCGGATGAAAACGATGTTGGATTATTTTTACAGAATTTGGAAACGTGGTATTTTGACATGGATTTAGAGCCAAAAGAAGTGGACAGTTATGTCAGTGTCTGTCACAGTGTTGATTATTTGGTGCCTTCTGACATTTTATGGAAGATGTTAAAGATTCTCCAAAAGGCAACACTTTGTGAAGAAGTTGGAAAAGACAACAATGCATATTTGTGCATTAAAGACATGTTGGATTTAGCTCAAAAGCAGGAGTTGAATAAAGATTTCATGTACATACAATATGTTACAGAACTTGCAGAAGTATTTAAGAAGCAGGCATCTTTGTTGTCATTGATGCACCAAATTGAAATTACATGGAAATTTAGTTTAGTGCTGTATTGTGATCATGAAATGATTTTGAAAGTTTTAAAGAACTATGTGGCTGATGAACAAGACGGCAATAACAACAATGTTTATAAATTAGTTACCGCTTACCGAATAATGGATTGTAATCCAAATATTACTCTTGTAGAAACAGTGAGAGATTTAATACAAAGCCAAGGGAAAAATGCCTCCCCTTTCCAATTACTTTCCATTGCTCACGATTTGATATGCCGTCATGGCTATCGTGAAGTCTTCAGTGAAATACTAGATTGTTTTTTTGAGTCTGATCTGATGAAGGAAGAGTTCTTAAGTGAGCTGAGCCCAGGAAGGATTAAAATCATTCTAGAGTTGTGTGGAAGGTTAGAAATAGAACAAATTGACAGATATGTTAAGAAGATTCCACCCAGCCTCTACAAGGTATGTGGTGTTCAAGACTGTGCAGAAAAATTGAAAACAGATTGCCAGCTGTCCTCAGTGAAGGCTGTTTTAGCAGCTGTGCAGATGAATCTTGGTGGTTCCCACATGGCAAGAATCATGCCAGTACTTCCCATACATCTTCCTATTGTGGAGTGCTGTTTGAATGAAGTGAATGAGCCTGTAGACATGGAGCTGGTGCCCAGGGTTTTTGATGAAAATGGATTCCTCAAAGTGGAAAACTTGTCTGCCCTGCCTGAAGGTTGGAGAAGAATAGCAGTACTAGTATTGCCTTCACAATATAAACATCTCTTTATCAACAAGCCAGCATACACTGGTGAGTTAAAATGTTGTTGTCCTGCTTAAGATAACATCTACTGGTCGGGTTCAGAAATAGATTTTATTAATTTATTTTTTTATTATTATTTTTTAGGTGTTCTCACATACTTCAATGGGATGACGGTATTAGAGGACATCTTAATTTGAATGTATTATATGTAAGGTCAAAGTGATTAAGATTTGAATAGATTTCCCAAGTTTATGTTAATTTTTCATTACATTAAGGCATGTGTTTTCTAACAGTAAGGCCTCAATTTATGATATATGTTTACATTGATTTGTATTTTTTCTCTTCATCAGGTGACTTCAAAGCAAAGCTACACTTCCTAGGACGTGCAGGATACCAAAAGGTTGTACTGGTTGCTAAAGTTCCAATGGAGGAGAAGTTACACAAATGTATGAGGGATATATTGAAAGAAATCCCTGATATAAGGTGAGGAAGTAGCATTATAATTGATGAATAAAAATACTGTGGTTTTTAAAAGGTAACATTTTGTTATAGAATCTTGTTCTTTTTAATATCAATAATAAAGGTTTATTGTGTTCTTTGCAATATATAAGACATATATTGAATGTATATGTATAAAAGTATAAAGATGTAGTACTAAAATCGAGCTTTAAGATAAATTCTAAGTTATAAAACCAATAATGAGGTTAAAAATGGTGATTCGTTGTTATTTTCAAAAGCTAAAAGTTAATGGATAGACCTAGATCATTGACACGTATATAAACAGTATGGGATAAAAGTGTTTCTATATCTTTTTGTCCGACATTTTGGTAAAACATATCTATAAACATTCCTTAGGTCCTTTTCTATGACACGAGTGTTAGGTAAAAGATGGTTCAATCTATGTGTACACAGTTTTATCTCCTTAAATAATTTTTTGCATAAGTCAGTACGCCGAGATTTCAAAGTAGGTAATTCAGTGATGTCCATTGCTTCGTTGTAAGTGAGTTCTGGGTATATAATATGAAGAGCCCTTTTTTGGATGTTCTCTAAGGCTTTAGATTGCTGTGCGGTAATTCCAGCACGCCATAGCTGACAAGCGTACTCAAGTGTTGGTCTGAGATTGCTTTTATAAATTTGTAAGAGGTCATGTCTCAGCACCCCAGCGTGTTTGACCATGCATAAGAAATACAGTCTGGATGCAGCTTTTGAGAGAATTTTTTCTATATGTAAGTCCCATTTCAAATTAGAACTGATATGAACTCCCAGCAGTTTGGCATGTGAAACTTGTTCGATTTTTATACCATCAATTATTAGGTTATCAGGTACAGTAGGGTTTTTACTGAAAAAGATAAACAGTTCAACAGTTTTTTTAGGATTGATTAGCATGTTATTTTGTTTTGTCCATTCATATAGGTTTGAGGCTGCTATGGGAAGTTTAGATTGTGTAGGTTTGGCACCTTGTTCTATTTCCCTTGGAGATGGTTGGTGAACTGTCTCATAAACTGTANTTTTTTTTGGCCGAAACGAAGAGTTATTATCCCTTTAACATTGCATACCTCATCACTTGTGTCTGACATCGCCAACATAATTGTCATGCACTTTCAATGATAACATCATAAGATGAAAACTGTTTGTCCAGCTGCCTTCAAACTTACAGAATGATGAATATTCATATAGTGCAGGTCCAGTTCGAAAATCAGCTTGATTGGGCCATTTTTCTGAAAGTTATGCTCTTTTTTTTTTTTTTTTTTTCCAGCTTATATGTAATACATATAGTAAACTCTTGATTAGACCATTTCTCCAAAAGTTATGCAGGTTTTTTTCCTGCTTTTTATATACGGACACAATCAGTACATGTATATAGTCATCACCTGTGTCTGTCGTTGCCTTCATTACCGTGCACTTTCAGTGATAACATTGTAAGTGGAAAAATGAAATGCAGCTCAAGTTTGAAATTCGACCTGATTGGACCATTTTCCTTTAAGTTGTGCAAGCAGGGTCTAAAATTTTTCTAAATTTTTTTTGGTTTTTTAATCATTTTATCCACCATGATGCAAATAAACTGAAAACTGTTTTTCTTTTTTGTCTTCAAATCAACAGAACTTATGAAAATGTGTGTTTGCAATCAGCTTGACCCGACCATTTTCCAAAAGTTATGCCTTTTTTTTGTTATCATTATACAAATAACATGAAAACTTTGTCATATTTTGCTTTAAACCTTACAAGACTGATTCATATGACTAATGTTCAGGTCAAGTTTGAAAATTATCTCGATTGGTCTAGTTTTGATGATGTAATCCTTTTTTTTTTATTTTTTTTTTGTATATATGAGTGGTGTTTCCTCAGTGTCATTTCTTAGGTATGTTTACAGTCTCAGTATTGAACTCATTGCATACATAAATTGTTTTTTTGACATTTTCTGCATCTAAACAAATTTGTTTTTTGATTATATAAAACTGGTGGTTAATCTGTTATCATGCATTGCATAAAAAAGAGTCAAAAATGGAAATAAACTCATATCATTGCAGTTTGTCAGATTCAATCCTTCACTATGTTCATATTCTCAGAATGGAGCAAATTAGACATTAAAATTGTTCTACTGATATTTCCATTGATATCTTGACAAATATGTGAGTTGATCATATAAAATGGTAGTAAATTGGTTATTTTGTATTATGTAAAAAAAGCGTTGAAAATGGACATTTTTTTCCTGCTTTATATCTATAAGTTTGAGTTTTGCTGCCTTGTTTCAGCATATTTTGAAAATTAAAGGTTTAACATTCCCCAAGCTGAAAGAGTTATGAGTGAAGTTACTTAAGATGTCTGACCTAAAAGTCATATGTGGAGATTTAGCATGTGGCATGCTTTGTAGCTGTACTATTTTGGTCTGAAATATTGATATTGTTTTATTACTTTTTTTAAAGGTTACCAGATAATTAGGAGACTTTTGGAGTGTTTCATGACAAGATTGAAGAGGATTGGGCAACTCTCTGCTAACATTGACTGTTGAATGTTAATCTGAAACCAAACTCACTGTAGTGATGTACTGTTACCATTAGGACTTCCATCAAATAACACAATTCTGTGGATACGTGTGCCTTTTGCTGGGACAGAATAACACTAGGCAAGGCATTGTATTATGCTTCAAATCTGCTTGGTATAATTTGACTTGAAATCACAAACACCAGTGACTGGGACAATAATGTACATTTAATCCGTCATTCTGCTCAATTTAGTTGAACAGAATATAGAACTAAAATCTCCTTTTGTACATTACTGAAGACATTTGTTCCACTTGTGTAATTTGAAACATGTTTAATTACCATTGTACAGCCTGTTGTATTTTTTTAATTGTGACAATTGTAACATTAAAGTTAAAGAAAATTGTAGCTTAGATATTTGAAATATATAATAAAAATGCTATATATGACATCTACATTATTATTATTTCGTTACGTAACAAAATTTTCAATCACTTAATTTGGGAAAAGCCAAGAGTTTGTAAATAAATTAAATTGTTAATAAAATTTCTCCTAGAGGTTATAATAATAATAGAATAATCATGTCAGTCAATTTAACTGATTACATTTTTATTGTAAAATATGCATCCCATACAAAAATTCATTATCCATTAATAACCGTTCTCTTGAATAAATTGTGCTATCCTCCTGTATGCCTTTTGGCAGTTCTCTCTGAAATAGCCTGGAAAATTTAAAGAGATTATACTGTATTATGTAGCCGAATAATTATGCGACAGTCTCCACCTATTATTCAAAATGAAGCCAAGGAGTCAACAAATGAAACACCTGTATGTTCAATTAAGTGTGCATATATGACATGATAAATGGGGCCCTTAGGGACCATTCCCACAGATATTTGGATCGATCTATCTCCCTGGGGAGTCTAACTAAATTGCTGTCAGCTTAACCGGCTTAAATGCCTGTCCGGCCTACTAAAAGCTGTAAGGGGGAAATTTACTTTCTTGCGCACTCTGCTCTCTCTTGAGCTGATAGCAATTTAGCGTGAACCCCCAGGGAGTTAGGTCGATCTAGATGGATCAATCTAATTATGGGAACCCAGTCTTAGTGTCAGATTAATGGCAGTTTATGCTGATCACTGGTCATAAATAAATCTCTAAAAAAGCGACAATTAGAAAACACAATGTCTGAAAACAAATTACCTGGTATGTTGAAAAACGCGTGTATAACACCATCGAAGTAAATCGTCTCGTTCTTCACCCCTGCATCTGTAAGAGCCTTGGCATAGGCTGAAATGAATTCAGTCTCAACTCGAAATTTCACAGTGAATTCAAAGATTGATAAATAATGCGTGAATAATGTTCATTGTGAGGACAGCTTAGCAATGAGTAAACCTGTCGCGTGTCTGATTTCATTATGTGTAATAGGTTTGGTAACAAAACATTGTATTTTATACCGCAACTGGTGACTCTCTACCCATCGAGTCAATTCACGATGAAAAAGGTGGAGGATATGTCATCAAATCCATTGTGTTAGCTGTGGCATGGACACATCAATGTGTTAGGTGTGATTGTGAACCGAATGCGTTAGTTGAGACATGAACAATCTTACCCCTACTATCGTCTCGCAATGGATCATGACTGGCGACAATGAACAGCGCGGGTGGAAGATGATCGAACTTCTGTCGCAGCACTGGAGAGGCCCGTGGGTCAGTTTTCTCAGCGTCGTTGTTTAACCAGTGATTTATATACCTATATGTCAAGTTAAAACTGATTAGGAAATGGTTGGTTACAAAGGTAACGGAAATACTAGTAGTATGCCTATTTGCAATCTACTTTTAACATACCCAAGGATCAACTACAAAGGGGAGAGGGTTAGTCTAACGTGGAGCGCTAGGGAGTTTAGTGTCATGCATAAAAACGTGGAACTAAAGTGGTATCACGTGGTTTCTGCATACACCGAGCCTTTCACCACAGGTTTGTCTTTATTCGCGACCGTTAAATTATAAAATGAAAAACCTTTTTACAACAAGAAGACAGAACTAATTCGCGTCATCGCACCATTGATAGTCTTAGCAAGAAGGTGTAAATTAAAAAACGTACCAGTTAACTACAGGAGTGGTGAGTCCGTATCCTTCTGCACACTCTACATAGGCGGGATAAGGGATGGTGAGATTTACACAGGGATAGACCAGGATCTGAAAGCATGAACAACTCTTAGCAAACTACATTGTAGGCCACTCTCTGACCACAGGGGTCGCTCATAATCTCTTACAAAATCGCTGAATCAACCCTTCTTCAATTTTTGTACACTACACAAGTGACTCGATCCTGTGATATCAATTTGCATTAACAACCATTGTGGGCGTGTAAGGGGGCGTCTCGATAGTCCGAAGGTTCATGGGTCCGAAGGTTCATTGGTCCGAAAAGTGGTAACATTTTCATCGATTTTTTAATCAAGGGTTCATTGGTCCGAAGGTTCTATAGTGAACTTTCGGACCAATGAACCTTCGGACTATTGAACCTTCGGACTATCGCTACGGCCCCGCGTGTAACAATGGTTGTCAATGCAAATTGTTGTGAATTAACAAAGGTTGCCAATGCTTACCCATTGGTTGTTTAAAAGGCACTTTCTCCCATACTACATAGGCCTATCTGTCTTAAGTTTTTTTAGAGGCTTTTAGAACACCCTGTACCGCGGTGACAGAGAGTTTTTTTACTTAGAAATTCACAGATATTTCTCTGGACTATCTTGTGCACACTTCTGAACAGGATGATTTTTGCACGAAATTTCATAAGTGACGTCATCCCCCAGCTGTGTTTTGGTAGAGGGAAGTCTTGTCTTCCAGTATCATAGAAAACGTACACTGCCTTCAGCTACATGTACACCAACGGTACATTTTTTCTTTAGTCGTCGTTGTTTCGAAATAAAATCACTTTACTGAATTCGCTTAGCCTTTTGAAACTTATAACTAGATAAACTACATGTACCTGAAAAGCGAGGCCAGTGACGTCATGTGCGACAGACGACGACACGGTCCCCCCTGCGCTGTCACCACCAACCCCAACTTTACTCTTGGAACTTCCGCCTGAGATAGAGAAAGAATTTTTTGCTTTCAAGAAATACTGTTATATAGCTTACAATTTGGAAGCAACACTGTACGTACTCTGTTTTAAAATTCGCAATAATTTCCAGCTTTGGGTTTAATTTCATGAAGTAGGCCTATTTTATGGAATAAAGATTCTATTATTTTCGTTTAATTTTTGTTCGTTGAATTTAAAAGAATTACAATGGTCAAATTAAGAGAGTTGTCAATAGTTCAATTATATACATTTAGGACGAGGTGTGTCCATTCTTCTCACCAATTTTCTCTTTGTTTTCCTTCACCCACTTAACTGCCACAATTGCGTCCTCCAAGACGGCCGGAAACTTGTGTTCGGGCGAAAGCCTGTATTCTACGTTGACCACGACACATTTGGACTCCCTGGTATCAAAATAAACTTTGTATCACTTCAAGGAACTCTCTAAGTTTTTTTTTAATAAGCGTAGGCCCCTATATAGATCGTACAGACAATTAAAAGAGTGACAAAAGTAACTTGGGACAGGCTACAGATGAACCCCTTATCCTGATATCGATATAGATCGACTCTGGATATAGACTTAGGGCGCATTTTCAATGAAACTGTCTAAGTATACATTGGGAATAAGCCCTAGTTTGGTCCAAGGTAGATCGATACAGCTAAGTGGGCACCCTCAATGCATGCAGTCATATTAACAGATTAACACTGCCTCCTAACGTCGACGAAAATACGAAAAAGTTGCAAGGTGATTATAGGCCTATAGGCCTTCTACCAGGGCCGCAGTTATTACTGTACATGTGGACATTTTAATGGCTGACATCAGACCAAAATGACGGTCTATTTATCTAGAGGCATATCTGCATGTGAATATCTGTGGAAAACCAATCTATCGCCCTGGTAGAGGGTAGTGAATATACGTTGGAAACAAGAGGAGGGCGTGTTTATCTCTTAACCTAATTGCATTCAACGAGGGTTCCATCATAGGGTGCATTCCCAGAGATTTAGATCGATCTAGAGATTAAGATTTAGATCGACCTAACTCCCTGGGGGTTCACGCTAAATTGCAGTCAGCCGAGCGGGCACCATATAGTTAATTACCCCCTTACAGCTTTTAGTAGGCGGGACAGACGCTTAAGCCGGCCAAGCTGACAGTAATCTAGTGAGACTCCCCACAGGGATAGATCGATCTAAAAATCTATGGAAATGGGGTGTATCTTTTCATTTGCATAGGCCTATTTATATTTATGTGACAAATGTACCTTTACTGTGAAGGATTTGATCATCAAACTCATGCACTTTCACCCACAAAGGCCGAGGTAATATATATACTCACGTGGCCATCATCTTACAGCAGGTGTCATAGGCCTGTCTGTCCCCCACTGTAAACCCTCCTCCGTGAAAATACACCAGAATAGCAGGGTCTGCCGTCAGTACAGTGGGGGTGTAAACCCACAGCGGGACACCAGCTTGGGTGTGGTATAGAAAATGAATATAAGACGAGGGTCGTGTGTAAGATAAGTGTATAATACGCTTAAGCTTAATATGTTTTACTCTCTTTAAATAAAGATTATTATTATTATTATTATTATTATTATTATTATTTGTTAGTGACCTGTTTTTGCCTTCAACTTGCAAGTAAAAGACTGAAGTGTAGAGCAAGAACATATAACGTTATCTGTACTAGTATATCAGCTATGCTGGTACTACTGTTTAGTTTTATTGAGTCTCCTATAAGCTTGTCTTTTAAAACGGTGTTTTCTTTAAACAAAGCATTGCTTTCAATGTGAGACATGTATTTACGTACTATATACATTTTTAGCGAAAACAAAAAGCAGATCTGGCAGGCTCGTAGACAGCTAGCAATCTCAAAATGGGGGTTCTTTTTCCGAACAAGTGGGCCTTTTACAATTTCACTCAAAATGGACCTCTTCCTGACAAAAAGGGCAGTTCTTTCGAAACCCCCCTTCCCCCATCCCTGGCTACGGGGCTGATCTGGGCTCCATTGTACCTGGATCATGCGGGGAGTCAACAATGAACTCCTTCCTCTGTCCATTGAAGTTATAGTCCAATCTCTGGTCAGACACCCTACATCTCGCCGTCACCGCCTCCCGTGCCTCGGCCACCGTCAGCTCCGTGAACGGCCTGGCCCCCGACTCCACCAGCTCCTGCAGATAGGCCCGGGTCTCGGGGTGAAGGTCCTCGTTATTTGCCGTCATCCTCTTCCTGCAAGAAACTTCCACCACGACTCTAGAGTTGGTTATATACCAACAGAGGACGCGTGGTTACTGAATATACTGGTATATGGATAAATTTTGTATGAGTCTTAACTCAGAGTGAGGTTTTTGAAGAGAAACGTGTAGATTAGGTCTACATTATCATCATCTAGAACCTTACAAGCGGACTTGTTTGAACTCCGCAATTGGCTCAAACAAAGTGTGTATGTGAGGAGTGATAAGATAAGTGACCTTCATCTATCCACAGGGGTGCAGTGATGTAGGAACCGGGACAAACCTTAGCTGTGACCCCGCTCCATGTGGTAAAAGTGACCTTGCCGTTAAACCTGTTGTTTCTCTGCTACAAATTACTATGTATATTTATTATCTGTTTACTTCAGATCATTACATATAATGAGTCATATTGCTTTTTTTTTTTTTTTTTTTTTTTTTTTTTTTTTCGTTTTACTTGCTTTTATTTATTATTTAGATAGCGGGAAAATGCGAAATGTAGAACCCCATTATATGGAATGGACACCACCCGGGTAAAGTAATCGGACTACTGTAACAGAAGACCAACATGCCCGTCACAGTGAGTGATTCTTGTCGCCTTAGCTGCGACGGCTGCGATGTGACGAACTCACCAAATTGTGTCCATCACCGCTAACACAATCCAAGTTTAAATCCCATAATTTCTAGCCTCCAAACACTAAAGATATCCCCGGTCACGCTGTCGTCGGATTATAGTCCTAAGAGGAAAATAGTTTTTTTTTTCATTGTTACTTGATGCTTAGATTTACTATTTAGGTGTCGGGAAAAGCTGCTGCTAGCAGGGGAGGTAAGTACCTGACGAGTAAGGTCAGACAGTGTTTACCTGGTGACGCCGTTTACACCACACAAACCAGCAAGATAACAACAGGTTCGATCTCCACCATAATGATGCACCGCGGAGAACTCTATTTAAATAGAGTTGGTGAATAAATGCAATAAGTGTGTAAATTTTAAGTGCACAATGTAAACTCTTCAATTATCAGGTGTAGAAAGCAATATGGAGGCTGCTGATCCTGAAGGATGTAATACAGATCATCCTGATAGTGAGAGCCACAGCAAACCAGACCTAGTGCTGAGTAAAGAGCAGAAGTACAGGACAGCAATGGCGGAGTCTGAGAAACTGGCGCTGTTGGCCAGTGAGGTCACCATGGTGATATACAAGCAACGACTGGCAGTGCTCCAAAACCTGGTCAAAATCTGGGAGGAGGAGAAACAGGTGTCTCCTGTATACTGTTTTCAAAAGGTGACTCAACTCAATGACATTATGAATAAATAAATAAATAAATAAATAAAGTCTGGGAGGAAGAGAAACAGGTGTCTCCTGTATACTGTTTTCAAAAGGTGACTAAACTCATTGACATTATAAATGAATAAATAAGTTAATAACTAAATGAGTTAATTAAAATTTTTTTTCTTGATTGGTTTTTGCACATTTTTGATGAAACCATTTTTTTTACTATTCCCATCGATAATTTAAATAATACATCCCAGTTCTCCAAACATTCTCACTAAATAAAACACTGTGGAAGAACAAAGCACTCAGGGTGAATGATTAGAATTAGAATTGAATCAGAATGTTAATTAAAATGGCGGTGTTGAGAGTAATTAAAGTACAGATTCTTTTACATTCAGAAATGCTCTTCCAGTTAATTGCCATATTTTTCATTTTCAGATTTCCACTGCACAAACCAGTCCTGAGGGTGTAGGTGACTCACTAGATGGCGCTTCATCACCCATTAAACTCAACACAGTTATAAAACAAGAACTGGACAATGATGATGTATCATATAATGACCAGAGTGATGGCATCTCATCTGTAGTGTTACCAACTCCAACTCCTACCATGTTAGTTCTTAACTCCTCCACCAGAGGGCCCCAGTTACCTGTCCCAACCAATGAGATTGCCCAGGAGAGAATTCCCATTGGTGAGAACTTGTACAAATGCAATCATTGTGAACTTGTGTTCTCACAACAGACAGCAATGCTTCGGCATGAAAAAATCCACACAGCTAAAAATCACAGGTTCAACTTCAATAGGCAGCATTGTGGGAAGGCTGTACATGATGCAGCGCCACACAGTGGCAGATATAAATGTCAGTACTGTGAGCTTACATTTCGCAAGATGAGTTCTCGTATATACCATGAAACGACCCATGCAGGTGCCACGCCCTTCAAGTGCCAGCTCTGTGATAAGGCATTTAGTGATCGTAGTCACTGTATAAGCCATGAGAGAACACACGCAGACATCAAACCTTTTTTATGTCAGCAATGTGGGGTGACATTCTCAAAGAGAGAGGAATATTTAAAACATGAGGAGTCACACGCCACCCCACACCCATATATATGTCAGTACTGTAGCAAGTTATTCAATGATGAAACGGAGCATACCTTTCATGAGATGACACACACAGGGGACGAGCCCTATGAATGCCATCATTGCGGAACCAGTTTTAAAACCAAGATAAACTGCATTGAGCATGAAAGAACCCACACTACCAAAGCATACAAGTGCAAGTTCTGTCGGAAGACATTTAAGTATCAGAAGAACTGTTTTACACACGAGAAGTCTCACCTTGACTTCTTTCCATTTAGATGTAATTACTGCAAGAAGTCGTTTTCCAGCCATGAGGAGAAGGAATCTCACGAAGCGAGTCACACTGGAGATACTCCATACAAATGCCGTTACTGTGATTTAACATTTCAAGCAAAGCGCGCCTGTATGGACCATGAGAGGACGCACCCTGACGAAAAACCCTTCAAATGTCGGTACTGTGAAAAAATGTTTGTCTACGAATACATGTGCATGTGGCACGAACGAAAACACACGGGAGAAAAACCCTACAGGTGCCGCCACTGCAGCAGAACATTCAGAATGCAGAGAAGGTGTGTAGAACATGAACGGACTCACACCGGCGACAATCCGTACAAATGTAAATACTGTGAACGAAACTTCCCTTACAGGAGCATGTGTGTCACGCATGAGAGAACACACACGGGGGAAAAACCTTATCACTGCCAGTACTGCAACAAGGACTTCGCAAGAAACGATTCTAGAATAATCCATGAGAGGATTCACAGTGGTGAAAAACCTTTTAAGTGCCGTTTTTGTGGCAGTGTGTTTGCGCATAAAAATTCATGCATGGTACACGAGAGAACGCACGGTGTTGAAGAACCAGTTCCGAAACCCCAGTCAATGTCGCATCTAGATAGGCCGGCCCAAGAAGTGGGGGTAGTTTCTGTCGTTAAGGAGACATTTCTCTGCCAGTTTTGCAACAAGTCGTATACAGATCAAGCGGATCATTCTTTCCACGAGATGACACACACTGGGGACAGACCTTACGAGTGCCGCCATTGCAGAGACACATTTGAATCCAAGGCAAGCTGTGTGGAACATGAAAGTAGTCACCACACTGCCAGGAGGTCAAAGACGTACAAATGTAGATTTTGTGACAAGGTGTTCTCCAGAAATATGAGATGTGTGCAGCATGAAAGAACTCACACTGGTGAAAAACCTTTCCAGTGCCAGTACTGCTGCTTGAGGTTCACTAACAAGAAACCATGTGTTGATCATGAAAAAACCCACACTGGAGACGCACCGACATTTGAATGCCAGTTCTGCAAAAAGATCTTCCCTCGAAAAGATCACTGTATAATTCACGAACGAACCCACACTGGAGAAAAGCCATACAAATGCAAGCACTGCAGTATAACATTCACCAATGCCAGTAACTGCCGCCGCCATGAGTCCACTCACTTCGATAAAACTCCCTTCAAATGTGAATTCTGTAAAAAATCGTTCACTGAGGAAAGTCACTTCACACTACACATGGGCAAACACACCAGTGATGGCAAGTTTAAATGCGGGTACTGCAGCAGTGCCTTTAAATATCTCAGTAAGTGTAAACAGCATGAGCGGACGCACACGGGCGAGAAACCATACAAGTGTCGGCACTGTGACAGCGCTTTCACTAGGAACGACTCCCTGGCGCGCCATGAGAAGACGCACGCTGGGGAACTCAACTAGGCCTATAGGTGTCACCACTGTGAGCTGGTATACGGTACACAGGAAAATATTGGCTCATGAAATAACTCACAACAGTATAGAAATGCTGAACATGTTGTGAAGTGACACCAGTTTGTTAAGTGGTACCAGGTCATAAACTGTCGTCAGTATTTATACTCACACCGCCATGTTTTCAAACCCGTTTGGTCACAGAGCATTGTGTAAAGTCATGAAAATGTATTACATTTTATTCTATATATCGGCTTTAAACTGCTACACACTTGAAATAAATTCCTATGTAGATCTTTTTTGTAATAAAGTACAATAGCATTTGAATCTTTTGTCTTTTTACATTATTTAAATGGCAATCAGAATCAAGTGGTTTGATCCTGTCCTTTCCTCAACAAAGTTTACCAATCATAACGTTATAACTATTAGAAAAGTAAGTGGTCATGGGATGGTATAGGGAATTTGGAAGCTCATTTTACGAGTTGATCATGACACTTTAGCTTGTTAGCTGAATGTTGGCATCGCCTCACATGAGACGGCATCCGCACATATTACGTCACCCGACCAAGTGACAACGTAGCTTCCAGGCTTAACAAAGAAAGGGCACACTATTAAAGCACGTACAAAAATGTTTTATTTACAGATGTACAATGATGTGGTGATTGTAAGAAAATAATTTCACCCGATTTCTGCTGTGGCCATTCATAATTTACGGTTCATTGCTTCAACTGAACTCCTTTTCCAGGTTTTTTTCATTCTGTGTTACTTAAACATTAAACACAAAAATTCACTCTGTTGGTTAAGTCAGAATATAAAGAGAATGTCCAAAATTAATCAAATATTAAATCTAATTTAATGAATACAAGTCATAAATATGTACCAATGGTGAAAATACTATGGCATGTCCTCCTGATGCCCAACCTTAACGAGTATGTGTCAATCATCTGACTCCATTCCTTTTTTTGCAGTTTTAAAACTTTTTTGAAATAAGGTATTACGCAGGGAATGGCTTGTTCAGATGAGTACCAAAAGAAAACCATATTCAGTAAGCAATGGTGTTTAAAACCACGGCCCTGGTGTATTCCACTATCATCTTTTGTTTGTTCACTTCTCTATTAACGACTGACAGCCTGATGATGATGATTGTTCATTCACAAGTTTTTTTGTGCTCATTTTCTTCCATGTTGCGACTTCAGTCAATGGCGGCTGCAGGTTTCCGTAAATTTGTAATTGTTCTGCTGACCAGTCTCTCTTCATTTGTCAATGTCTGCATCCTCAAACTGTCTTCATTTATCAATGTCCGCATCTTCAAACTGTCCTGTCTCCATGTCTTCTTCCTCCTCTTCTTGCATGGCTTCTGTCATAGTACAAAGACTCCCATGTTAATCAGCAATCTTATCAAGTCAAAATTCATTTTCCATAACATAGTTATGACAAATTAACCCTAAAATAATTTTGGACATTTTGATGTGTTTACAATTAATCAATTCAGTAACTTACTAGTATTCACAGAATTTTGACCAACACAAAATGTGACTAAAATAATTGGAATTTATCTTGACAGCATATAAAATCAAAGTATTGCCACTTGAAAAGTAATTAAACGTGTTTAGCACTTATAACACTGTATAAGCTGTAACATTCAGTTGACGTGACAGTGCGTTAGATGTGACAGTGTGTTAGATGTGATAGTGTGTTAGTTGTGATAGTGTGTTAGATGTGACAGTGCATTAGTTGTGACAGTGTTAGATGTGATAGTGTGTTAATTGTGATAGTGTGTTAGATGTGACAGTGCATTAGTTGTGACAGTGTGTTAGATGTGATAGTGTGTTAGTTGTGATAGTGTGTTAGATGTGACAGTGCGTTAGATGTGACAGTGTGTTAGATGTGANATAATTAATCAATTCAGTAACTTACTAGTATTCATAGAATTTTGACCAACAAAAAATGTGACTGAAATAAAATGAATTTATCTTTACGGCATACGAAATCAAAGTTATGACACTTGAAAAATAATTAAACGTGTTTAGCACTTAACACTGTATAAGCTGTAACATTCAGTTGACATGACAGTGCGTTAGATGTGATAGTGTGTTAGTTGAGACAGTGATGTTAGATGTGACAGTCTGTTAGTTGTGATAGTGTGTTACATGTGACAGTGTGTTAGTTGTGACAGTGCTCAGTTAGCATACCTTCCCCTGCCTGTCCATTGGTTTCTGTTGTGCCCACAGAGAATATGGACTCTAGATGCTGTAAAGTTGCAGAGTTCCCCTCCTCTCCTTCCTCTCCAAAGAAGTCATCTAAAAATAAGTCAAACAGTTCTGATCTGATTTTAAGGACAGCAATTTCAGGTTTAAGTTTGGTAAATATCATAATTAAAAAATGGTATTTAAAAATCCCATTAATGGTTTTGTATTTCACTAAAATAAGATTTTTTGAGAAACTAGGGCCACGTGATTAAATATGCATTGCTCTCATTAGTGTGTGTATAAACTCACCCTCCCCAGAGTCCGAGTCTGCCTGATCTGGATGCAAAACTTGACATTCTGACATTGCCTCAAACATGGCATCCACTGAAATAATAAAATATAAACTATACATTGACTACACTTTATCTCAGGTAAAAAAAAAACAGACACTAACACTCCCTTACTTCTGTCCCCAATTTAGACATCTAAAGTATAAAGTTCTATCCTTTACAAAGAGAAAACTCCACAGCTGAGTGGCCAGAAACACTACTTACATTGCCCTTTGTCCTGTGGTACAAATCTGAACTCTGTAATTGGCTGTTCATCTTCTCCTTCATCATCTTCCTCCTCCTCATCAGCTCCGCTGTGACCATTTTGTCCCTCTGGCTCTGAAACAGACAAAACAGATGTCAGTGGAAATGTTGTAGACAGGTCATATTACAGAGCAGTTCTTCTTGGCATTAGTAGAGCCACATGCTTATTACCTTAAAGCTGCAACAGGAAGACAAAGTAGGTGCTCAGTCAGGAAAAAGACTACATTTGATATATACAGGGTTAACACTGTCTTTAGTAAAATAAGACTTACAATTTGGCACAGGGGTCTGACCCCCCCCCCCCCCCCCACCTCCTCCAAAACAGTATTGCAGTTCTGTTATATCTCAAAAAATGATACTTTGGCTTCTAAAAATTAATTAAAATTAAGTCAGAAAAATCTCATCCCTCATTATAAACTGTTAAATATATATGCACGATATATATAATGAGCCATTCAAGGCCCATGCTAAGAGGATCACCTCCCAGATCTCCCTCCACCATCAGGTACAGACACTCCTGTGAGAAAGCTGATAGATCTCTGGACACCGCATGCAGGGAGATGGACGGATACTCTAGAGAAAACCCCTTCTCATCTTCACCAACCCAGGAGAGACGGCTGAAAATCATATGAAAAAAGTTATGATAAAGCAATACCACGTAATTCAAGTTTAATTTTGAATGAAATAATCCATATAATGTAACTCAACAAATTCATTACACCAAGTAATGACTTTCTTTAATGTGCATCGGAAGTGAAAATATATTTCACATATAAAATGCATACAGTAGCTTGTGAAAATATGTATATAAACTATCAACAATAGTACACGTACGCCAGATTTTAATGCAATTGCACTGATTATTTTTTTAATGAGATTTTCTTTAAAAAGTCAAGTCAGATCACTACAGCTTCATATTTCTACCTTTCAGCAATGTAAAGCGTGCCTTTTCCTAAGACTCGACTCTGTGGGTTTTTTATTCCCTTCACGTGGACTTCGGTGTTTGATTGTTCGCACCTTATCCCTTCAGCTGGTGGCGGAAAGTTTGTCAACACGACCATACCTGTTATCTTATCTGATCCACAACAGATAAGCACGTTTCACGCGCTGAAACGATTGAATGAACCCGATGGTATTCGCAACGCGATCGCAACACGTTGTTTTGTGAAAACAATATGGCTTCCGTAATTTAAACCAATCAGACGACGGGTTGTGTTTGGTGCTGGACAGTAGCAGCTGGACAGCTGCTGGAACTATTTTGCAGGTTACGCCGCTTTCCGGTTTCCCAATCGAAAATAAATTCCGTACAGAATTTTCGTGTTTTAAAGTAAAAATTACCTTTTGTTTTGTCTTTTATTGATTACAATCCTTCAAAACTACGAACTAAAAGATGACCTCTTGCACTATTTTACGGTTCACCGGAACGCGTAACGTAACAGCTGACAGTGCAGTCCGGTCGACCTTCTGCTACAGCAAAGGTAAATTGATTTTCCCCGTTGTTAACAAAGAATTTTAACAAATCAACCGACAGCGTTGTGAGGGACATGAAGGTTTCCCCAGCAAGGTGAGACCAAAGTGTTTTATGTGCTCATTGTATAAATTTTTATTCATGAATGAACGATAAGTTAATTTTTCGCCGCCCCCTTTTGTAACAATGGTTAACGCTGCCGCTAGTTGAACCTGTATTCTTGGTGAATAAACATATTAGCCGTGTGTCATGCCAGTTCACTAATGATCATAACGCATCAGTTTTGAAGCCATGGGTTATTGTAGCATCTTGAAATGCACTGTTACGTAAGTGACACGTAGTATGTAAAGTGAGTAACAACTGGTAGACTTCGTTAATATTGGTATTGTTATTAATATTAGTCATAGCATTTGTCACGTAACTTATACATAATAGTCTCGGTATATTTAGGTTTATTCATACATAGGCTGTTGATACTTATGAGTTTATTGTGGAAAGAAACTCACTTACATGCATAAAGATAGGCTAACTGTTAAGAACACTATATGTTATTATCTACGAGGTATATTGAATTAATTAACTTAACATGATAATTATAACATAATAATTATGATATTATATGCATACAGACACTATTGTCCTCACATCATAAACTAATTCATAGCTTTGTCATCTTGATCTTACAATTTTGATATGAACAAAAAGTGTCACATTTGTTTGTGGTTACTAGTACCAAGTAGCTTGCATGACAGCGTTTTCTTAATTTAGTGCTTTTCTAACTAAACGTTTTTCTTTCAATGCAGATGCAACATTTGGGAGTGTCCTTAATGCTCACATTTTGCAATATGTGTTTATAGCATTTCTTTTGATTATGAATTTTTTTTTTTTTTAAGCTCGATGTTAAACTTATGACAAAACCACATTTACATTTTAAACTTCATTTTTGTTTCAGAGACAATCACATGATGTTTTCACATTGATCTCCACAGTAATAACATCTCAGGTTAATCATTATTTTTACGTGTAATCACCAATAAAAGGGAACTTATCAACATATCATAAGATGGAGATTCCACAAGTAAATCTGACCATAGAGGGTGCTGTTGAACCCATCTCGAAGTGGAACACCTACGCTAAGACACTGTTATATTGGACATACGAGGGGGTTGATTACAGCATAGATGGAACAGGAGGCGAGGATTGCGTAAACTTTTTAGGCCTCGGTCAACGCCTCATCGAGACCTTCTTTGCCTGTGGGTTAGCCTGCTTGGCAATGTACGTGGCATATCCCAGGTTGAAGCTTCCACAGGCCTTAGCAGAAGATAGAAATTCTAAAATGAAGAGATTTTTGTCAGTATTACTGACACTGACATTTGGCGTGGAATTAGGCTACAAGTTGGCTACCAAGCAGTTTATTTGGATATTTAACCCTTGCCATCTGGAAACCATAGCACAGGTAAGTAATTGAGGTCTTTTCATTTTTGCACAGTTTTTCCATGCTGGATTCAGTGTTAAAACGTGAAATTTGCCTGTCCAAGTTTGGCTGTCACCTTTCTTAGTTGATAAATCAAAAATTAAAAATCAACTACTAGTATCTTTATAATGCCACTGAAAGAATTTCAAACACTGATTTGTTTTTGATTAAATAAGGTTGAAAGATAAAGTCACCCAAGTCACAAATTATTGCCTATGGTACTGGATTCGTTGAGTATCATGAGTAAAATTCCATGTGTTTTATTTAGATTCAGTTACTAAGCCAAGCATGGAGCTCTCTATGATCTGTATAGTGTTTGCAAAGGATCAGCAGTCTTTCTCTTGGTGCTTTTTTTTAGCCTCAAAAAACTGAACAGGTTGCATGACTAGTGGCTTTCATATAGAAACGTAATCTGGCATTGTCTTTTGTTCCCACTGACTTGCCTAATATGTGTGGAAGATTTATGTGTTGTCCATGTGAAGAACTGGATCTCTTTCTCTCTCTCTCTCTCTCTCTCTCTCTCAGCTTAGTCTATATGTCATGATGCTTTGTTTCATGGCATTTTGTGCTAGATTTACATCAGCTTAATCTGATATTTGTGATGTTTTTGTGCTGACTAAACCCTTGGTTTAAAGTAAAAAAAAAAATCAGTGGATATAGAAAAAATGAGTTCAAGTTTCATCACCCTTTGGAAATTCATGTTTTACCTTAATTGAATATTAATGTTTTAGTATGTCATGTGAGAGTGCAAATTAGATAAGCAACACAGAGTGAATCAACAGTAACAAAATTAAACAGATGGGATGTTTGCTTCATACTGGCATCTTACCATTAGAATTTTATGACAATAAACTAATGTAAGCTGACCTAGGAGAGTAAACTTGGTTGTCAAAAGTTAATTATCGTTGAGATGTGTGCTCTGTAGAAAGGGGTTAAATATTTAATGCATTAATTTTAAACAGCCAGGTGACTGATGTGCTGAAGTGATCTATTGCACAGCATGAGTTTAGAAAGATCTACAGTCTCTTGTCAACTTTCCTGAGTGGCTAACCCCCAGTGAACAGAGCTCATGAGGATCTGTGTTAAATATCCCTGTTTTATTGAGAAAGGGGCTATTTTATTGATTTCCTGCATTCATAAACTTAAGGATAATGTTAAGGAGGAACCCTGGTAGGAGCAAGTTTTCTTTTTAAGAACTGAAAGTCTTCCTTATTTCATCTTGATTTAATGAGCCAGTTTTTATTTTTTTAGAGTGAGATGGCAGCCTTTGTGGTTCACAGATTTAATGCCTGTGCACTGTGCTTGAACTACACTTTTTTTACAGGCAAGTGGAAGTGCAAAAGTGTCCTTTACTTTCACTTGGCTTCAGCTCATTTGACAAGATCAATTTTAAATTGTGTATTTAAGAGACATTTATGAGTTAAGGACCTGAAAGAGTTGTGGGCATGAAGTGTCTAAAATCTGTTCACAACATCAGGAAAACCCTATATTCATTTTTTTTTTCATCGAATCCTATGTATGGCTTCTTCATCAAGTGCTGTGAAGAAATGATTTCTCACTGTAAGTAGCTGCAGGACATTGTGGCATTTCCCTGAATTATGTATTACCTTTGCGTGTAGCAGGAGAATCTTAGGTGATTTAGTGGAAATTTTTCAATTTGGCAGCCTAATGCCAGACTGCTGTGACATTATCAAGGACATTGGCTGAAGTCATTTATTATAATTAGCAACTTTTCAATTTCCATGCCTTGTTAGACTTTCCTGTCACATTTGTGGCCATTTTGCTGTAAAGAGTGTTAACTAACTTATCTCTGTTTAATTTGCTGTCCTGATAGAAGAGGGTTTTGTGTACTTTGTCAATTGGCTAATTGATTCATTAGCAACAATTCAGTTTTGCTGGCTGTAGCTGGTAATCACAGACATGTTCTTCACGGTCAAGGTTATTCATCTTAATAACAATAATAATAAAAAGCAAATTCAGGCTGGTTAGCAGGGGTCTTAGCTGCAATAAGAGAAAAAAACTCTTTTGGCCCGAAAAGGTCCACTGAATTTAAATCAAAATTTGATGAGGGTTCTTTGCCTTTTCTGAAATTGGGGGTGAAAAGATCTTCTCTTCCAGAAAAAGATTGCCCCCCCCCCCCCCTTTTTTTTTTTTTTTGTTAATTGCTGTCTGCATGCGCAATTCAACTAGGAAGATAATTTAACAAAGAGAATTGCTGAAGTGGCTGTACATTTTTTTGTTTGTTTCATTTAAATATCCATAATGTCATAATGTAAATGATGACCATGGACAGCTAACTGTTACCATGGGCAGCTAATTATAACTGTTACCATGGGCAGCTAACTATTACCAGTATCCAGTGATATATCAACAGCTTGCCTTTTTCAGTTTAATCCACATGTTGCGCTTGTTGAATTGTATTGATTCTCCTGTGGTCTCCAGTGACCTCTGGCAGTCATTATGTTGAGTTGAGGAATATATATATATATATATATATAGCAGGCCCGTAGCCAGCAATCTGAAAAGGAGGTCCTTTTTCTGAAAAGTGGATCTTTTACCATGAAACCTTCATGTACTGTACCTATATACAATTTTACCCAGAGGGGACCTTTTCCCAGCAAAAAAAAAAGGGGGTTCTTTTGAACCTCCTGAATCCCATCTGGCTACCGACCTGTATAGTGAAGAAATTTCAATTCATTCTTCTAAGTAAATTTTGAAATACATTGAGATTGAAAAAAAAGGGGGAAAACAGAACATGAGGTTAGAGATTTTATCCCCGCACTTTAGGGACAATTAAGAGTCAAGGATCATGTTATCCCACCCGTCTGTACATCTGTGTGTTAGTAATTTCCCCTATCTCCTCATAGTCCATTACAGATAGGACACTGAAACTTTTGGAATTGGTAGACCCATCATCAGGGACGTGCATGGGCAATTTGGAATTTTAGTGCCACAGGGGATTGGGCTGTCCCCGGGGGGGGGGGGGGGGGGGGTGGATTTAAA